GTCATTCCTGCCTCATCTCGTGTAGGCCTGGACAGCCTTCGTAGGTGGGCCCCATCCGTCGTCTACCCCGACCGCAAATGCGGCCGGTGTAGGCGCTTTGACTGTCATGTCTAGCGGCTACGTCAAATCGTTTCTCCGCGTTTTGTCTTATTGTCTGTGCAGCGTTTGTGAATTGTAAGTCTCGTAATATGTCAGTGTTTCTTACGTACCAGGGCGCGTTGCCGCGTGACCCCACGTCGGGAGGCGTAGGTTAGCTGCGGTTGAAGTACCACCTTGATAAGCGTTCGCTTATTCCTTAAACTGAGGGTGTTTCCACCTTTGAGTAAGGGATAGAGATAAGCCCTGGTGGTCTTCGCTCGCGCCACCGTCTNACGCCGTGGAGGCGTAGGTTAGCTGCGGTTGAAGTACCACCTTGATAAGCGTTCGCTTATTCCTTAAACTGAGGGTGTTTCCACCTTTGAGTAAGGGATAGAGCCCAGCCCTGGTGATTCTCGCTCGCGCCACCGTCTCCACGATGTGCGGTTTCCAAGTAAGACGCTGATCCATCGTCACGCCCAGGTATCGTGTTTGTCGATTCAAGAAGATGGGTTCCTGGGATAGTCTCAGTCTGTCGAGGTTTTGTGGGATTTTTCATTTGATAAAAAGGATAGCCGAACATTTGTTGGGATTAATTTTGACTTTCCACCTGTTGCACCAGATTTCAAGTTGGTCTAGGGAGTTTTGGAGGAGGGAGGCGGAATATCTAGGATCTACGGATTGGGATGTGATTGTCAGGTCGTCGGCGTATAAGTATATGTTGGTGTTGGGGGGATGTGGGATGTCGGAGTTGTAAAAGTGTATAGGTGTGGGGACAGGACGGTGCCCTGGGGGACACCGGCCTCCATGTGGTGGAAAGGGAGTCTTGGATTTGGATGCGGAATTTTCGGTGGTGTAGGTAGGATTTTATGAGTTTGGTAAAGCATTGGGATATTGGTTGGTGAGTATTTTCATCACTAGGCCCTCATGCCAAACCGTATCGAAGGCCTTTGCGACGTCCAGGAAGACAGCACCAGTATACTGTCCCCTGTTGAAGGCCGCCGTGATGTGCTCGGTAAGGCGAAGGATTTGGAGTTCAGTGGAG